AAGCTTTGGCTTTGATGTTATTCTCTCTTCTTATAACCAATCCACACAAAAGGACATCCTTGTCAAGCTGGAAACTTCATGTACTGCTACTGTAATAAGAATTTTTAAGGAGTGCTGATTTTTAACATATAGCAATACTATATAAAATGATGTGAAGCCCTCAAGTGTGTGTTTTGAGTTCTTATAGAAATAGTGATGAACTCACATTTCTTAGCTGTCTGCTTTGCAAATGACAAACCTTTTTTATGAGACAGCTAACCAATTTGAAATCTCTGAGTCAGCGAGACCAACTAATCCATAATGACCCTGGCCTCTGTAATATCTAGCTATGGATGGTTGTATTAACTGATTATAACAAAGTACAATGAGTTAAATATCAAAAAGGTCTCTTGGAAAGATACTACTCCACATAAATTGAATGAAGATTTTAACCCTGTAAAGGAAACCAACCTAAATAAATCTAGGAGAAAATCTTGTAGGGTTGCTAACAGAAGTCCAATACTAGATTACAGAGATGATCATCGAACTCTAATTACAGACAGATAGCAAATTATGAAAGAACTTACCTTTAAGTTCTGGAAGTAAACCATCTAGTCATAGTTTTCAAAATCTGAAGTCTTAAAACATGGTTCACAACATGTGGTCTCAACCAGCATCATGTGGGAGCTTGTGAGAAATGCAAATATCAGGCTGCCATCAAACCTACAGAATTAGTAATTCCTGGGTGGATCCCAGCAATCCATGTTTTTGAAAGTACTATTGGTATTTTGATGCAGCTCAGAGTTTGAGAACCGCTGGTTTAGTTTAGACCTTTAGGAAACACACCTGCACTTTATATATCCCTTATAAGTATGACAGAGGAAGATGAACCAAACAGGAGCAATTAGTAATTTACATAATACAAAGGGAGCAAGAGAGTCCTGCCTGCTCCCTCAACTGGCCTAAGAAATGCCTGTGTTTCTTAAAATGAAAACAACTTCTTCTAGTTAAGACACTGTCAATAAAAAGCCACTGTGTCCATTAATGTGCCAACACATCATTTATCTTATTTCTCAGTTGTCACTTGACAGAGAGGTTGGTATGTTCTTATGAGTTTCATTTAGAGGACAGATAAATGAGACATTTCACTAACACATGCATCACAAAGTTTGAAATTAACTTCTATATTCTACTAAAGTACTTAACCACTGAAACAGATTTCAAAAGCACATAATTTTATATTCAACAGAAAAACTCAGCTTTCTACCTTCTTATAGCACCACCATACTGTATTCATGTCAACGTTTTTGTTATAAATTATATTTCTCAAAGGGTCTCTGTATACCTCTTAAATACTCTATTGAGGTTAAAACTTAACACACATTGGATTTTTTTAAATTATGATGAAAAAAGATAACTTATGGTCCTCCCTGGTGGTGGAATGGGTTGAAGCACAGCACTATGTGGCTATCTGCAACAACTGCAGCTCAAGTGTGATCTCTGACCAGGGAGCTGACCCCCCCATGGCTTGGCAGACCTCTCCTGACCTGCCCACTGCTCCCCTCAGCAGAGTATTTCACTGGATCTGCTTGTTCTGCCCCCCACTCTATCTCCGGTGAAATCCTCTCATCCTGACCCCCATACCTCTGGCCTGCACCCCAGTTCTTGTATGCATAAATAAATAAATCTTAAAAAAAAAACTTAAAAAATAAGATACAGATGAAGGTGGTTAAAGTTTAAATACAAGTTCCTAAAGGGAAAGAAGAAGCCACTAATTCCTTGATGTGTTCCTCCTAGAGGCAGCAAATGGGCAGGAACAACAATTCCATGTTGTGTTGTCCTTTCAGTTGACCGATGAACTTTTATTTTAAATTTTGCTTGGCAGTTTTATTTTATTTTTTAATTTTATATATATATATATATATATATATATATATATATGTTATATATCATTCTTCATTTTATGCATTTTTTTCATCTCAGTTGTAATCCCCATGGACCACCTATCTGACCAGTGACATATTAACCTCTAATCAAGAATTCAAAATTAAGGTTGACACTTTGTCCTTTAAGCAGTTCCATAGGACTGCAGGGTTTTTACTGCCTGATGTTACACCATATGTGCAAACTGTATGCACAGCAGGCAGGGTTAAGTAGGATGCCTCTGTATTCCCCTGCTTCCTGTTGTTTTTGGAGCAACCCTAACTTTAGTTAAACATAACCCTTCTGAGTGGATCATTTTCAGTGAGAGAATCTGCCTTATGGTAGACACTCTGTATATTGACTCTGACTGGTGTCTATGGAATTCACAGAACTCACTGTCATGGTATTTGCAGTCTTTGGGAAACCCACACATTTTATGAAATATTTTACATAATAAAATTATTTACCACTTACAGTTTTTATGAACAAAACTCGAACAATTGGGAGCTGAACAACAGGAGTATTTTTTTTTTTAAGCATTTTTGGTCAACCAGTCTACCATTAAATCAAAGTGATGAATATTACATTTTTTTTAATTTGCATAGTTCAAACTTTTTTTTTTTTAAGGATTATTTATTCATGCTTACAGAACTGGGCAAACCCAGATCTAAATGTAAAACCTAGGAGGGTTTTACAGAGATATGGTGGGTGAGAGGAGTCACCAGAGACAGAATGGGGAGCAGAACAGGCTGGTGGACTGAATACACTGCGAAGGGGTCAGGAGAGGTCTGCCATGCCAGGTGGGTCAGCTCCCTGACAGGAGATTGAACTCATGCTGCAGTGGCTTTGGAGAGCTTCATAATGCAGTGCTTTAACTCATTGTGCCACTATTACTTTGAAGGGGTATATTTACTTATGCCTTAACAGAATTAAATCAAAAAACTCTCTTAGGTTTACATTTAGATCTGGGTTTGCCCAGATGAAGAATGAAAGAACACCAAATATGAGTAATAACCTATGTCCTTAGCTTAATGTCAGTGACTCTTACCAAGCCAAAGTTTATTAAAAACATATACAAAAAGGGGAAAAAAAGGTCCTTTTTAATATAAATATATATACACACACTCTCACACCACAGGGAAGTTATATAACTTTTATATATATACTAGGTTTTTATATATATACACACACGCGTGTGTGTGTGTATACATATATATATACACACACACACATATATATATATATAAAACTTTCACAAATATATACACACACATATATATAACTTTCCCAATGGTCTTTCCCCTTGAGTTTTCTGTAAGTAGAACATTTAACTCTATATAATTCAAAAAAATCTATACATAGCTTAGAGAAGGAAGCATAAATCTCACAGGTCTCAGATTCTCTTCCTGCTGCCTTCCTTCATTATACATTTAAAGATAATCAATAAAAACTGATTTCTCTTTGTAAGCATTTTCCTGTTCTGCCAGAAATAATAGCAGTTCTGCCCTAAAATGAAAGGAATAAATGGAAAGTAATATTTACCATAAGAGGAGAAAAAGAAACTCCCTAAGCATTTTTTTCCTGAGCCAAGTGAAATACAAACAGCAAATCAAGTTTATTCTTAAAGAAAAAAACTTTAAATACTTCTGGCCTTCGTTCTATTTTCTAAAACCTTGTGGGTCAACAAAGTCTTAAATTCTGGAATGATATTTCAACTTTCAATAGCAACCCTTTTTGTTTGCTAATCATTTGCTATATTTTCTGTATTAATAACACAGATCACAAGAAAGAATTTAGCCCAAGCTGAACACTGAAGCAATAAAGAGAGGACAGTTAAGCCCCCTAAATTGCCTTCTTGGGCAGAGAAAGATGCAAAACCACAAGGAAGAAACCCAGACAAGAACAATTATATAAATAAAGAAATAAAGAACTACAAAACTGCAAAACTGTAATCTCTTGTTCTAAAACACAAAACTTTTGCCACTTGCATATTTTCAGCACAAGAATTTCCTTACTTAAAATATTACTTGCAAACTCTACATTTAAATGAAAAAAAAATTGTTTATTTTTTTCCCCTAGCATGTTGACTCTATCTCATAATTATGACTTTTTAATTGTTTTCTTCTGGATTCTTCACAAAAGACTCTAAGAAAGCACCACATGGAAAAGTAGCAGACTTTTACTTTGTAATGAAGTTTCAAATACATTTTACATATTTCCTGGCTTCCTACTTCCTTTCACTCTTTAGAATCTACAGACATTGTCATATTTCACTAGGACAGACTGTAAATCAGACAAGTTCAGTACATCAGGTTGAAGAATGGAGGTGAAAAGCACAGAGGAAAATATATAAACTGTAATTAAAACCATATGACCAGAGATATTGAAGCAATACTTACTGGAGGAAACCCAAGTAAAAATCAAACTTTTTCTGGTGTTAGTGAAACTATCCAGTCCATTTGGGACAAGCATGGATCATTTGCTGAATATTCTTTTATTTATTTATTTTTTTCCCCTAACAAGAGCACCCAAGGAAGTTAAATCCTCACAAGGCAATGAAGCCTATAGTTACCTTTGCAGCATGCTGAAATTCATAGTTAATGTAAAACTGATCTCTCACTTAAAACTGTAATCACTTACTTAGAATACAGTTTGAGATTGGCTCACATTCACCGAGGGGTATTAAAGGCTTATGATGACAACATGGAATCAAAAACCTTTTCCATTTTTTCTATGAAGTCTTCATCTCTAAAGTCCTGAGGATTCCAATAAAATAAAGATAATCTAAGTGTCTGCTGCCGAATATAAAGAACAAGAAGTTATAAAATCCAAACCTTCTCTCCTACTACATTATAAACATGTTACTGTTTCACATAGATAGGTACTTCGAATGCACAGAAATTAACAGCCCTTCAAGCAGTAAAGCAGCTCCTGTAAAAAACTTCAATTCTGGCAATCTATCGCCAAAGCCATTCCATGTCTAATTCCCCCAAGCATTCCAAGAATCGATTACAATAACCTCAGTAGACAACTGGAATATAATTTTCAATACTGCTTCAGGATTCTGATAAACAATGCAAGTTTAACAAGTCACTTACCCCCCAGAAACTGAATTCCTCCAGCCACTCTTCCCACTGTCCTGGAGATGAGCTCAGACACACAGCAGCCCATGAGGGCAGTGAGCCCCACCAGGAGGAGAAGGCCACAGCCCAGGCCTGTCACGATGGTACAGATCCTCCATTCTGTGCTGGGGATGCCTTGGAAGGAGGCATAGCGCCCACACTCCTCCACCATCACCATCATCTGCCGGATCTCATCATGCACAGGATATGAGCACCTCCGGAAAGTGCCAAAGGACACAGGCTTGCCCAGCTGTGAGCCCCAGAGCCAGTAGGGCATAAAGAAGCCCACACAGGAGGTGGCTGCACATAGAAATGAGAGCAAAGCCCAGATCACTCCTGTGCAAGTCAGACTGGAAGCCATCGTTCACCAGAGAGAGCAATGAAGACCCAAAGTAACTTTTCTGGGGTGACAGGAGTTAGTAAATGTGAAACCACCAGGGACCCACAGGTAATCCAAGTTCTATAGCAGAAGTGTCTATTAATAGACTGGATCTTCCGGCTCACTGGGCATCACCTTCCCATCCTCTGTAGTAAAGATGGTGGTCCCTGGTAAAACAACAGGAAATATTAAAAGTTGCATTATTTTTAGAGAAGTGATAAAACCAATTCAGACAGTTTATAACTTTCAAGGAATAAATATTCATACTTGCCTCAACACTTAAAAAATAGGGGGAAAACCCAGTTATTTCCACAAATGTCTCTATGTTTCAAGTTTCATCAAACTAGCCCAAAGCTTTTTCATGTCTATCTTCTACAATGTTCCCAAATTAATTCTGACAGCTATTTACTTAAAGAAATGCATGGCTTCCATTTGCCAAGTCAGTGAATTCAATTCACATGCTCACACTAAAAGTAATGTGGCATTTTTACTGGCAGCAAACATAATTCCATATATTATAATAAAATGAACCGTATCGTGGTTTATTTGGCTTGCAAGTTCACGCTCACACTTTGTAGCAACTTTTCTGCATCCTTTAGGTGCGCTCACTGAGCTTGAAACCCAAACAAAATAATTAAGATCATTTTCACAACGGTAGGAAATCATAAATTCAAAAAAGATTATCGAGTTTTAGACATATATCAAACGGAATTTTTAGGCATCCCAGTACTCATACAGCAGCATTTGTAAATTCCTTCATTCTTGGCCACCTTCTCTAGGCTGTTGTTCAGATGCGCAATTTTGATTTACTGTTCTAAATAAAATTACTGAACCCATCTCTTCAGCAGGATGATTGCCAAAGTCTAAACTGAAAAGTAGCCTCATCCCTGTTCTCTTTATCCAACTCCACTCATTCAAACGGTTTCTTTCAAAGAGCCCCTGAACCACTTCCCACCCTTTCCATAAAGACACGAATCCAGAAGCAAAGAGCCCATTCAAGCTACATTTCCATCCCCAGAACGCCCAAGTTCAGCTTTCAGGGTTCACAGCAAATCCCCACTTTTGTCACCTCTTTTCCAACCCTCACATTTTCCAACCCTCACAGCCACCCACTTCCTTTCCAACACCCTGCCTCACACCTAAGTCACTCCAGGAGAGCTCAGATCCTTTTTTTTTTTTTTTTAAATGTTGTCAGCTGTGGTTAGTTAGCATCAGCGGTTAAAGTTGGTCTATCTGGACCAAGAGGCTGGGGAAGGGGGTTGGGGGGCAGAGAGTCCCCGTGTAGACCTGAGATGAGGCGTCCTCACCAAGACAAACCCACAGTCAACCCTCTGCCGTGGCCTCGCCCACCCATCCCCAAACTCCTGACGACGCACAAAGATCCCTCAACCCAAAAGGAGGGGAGAAGGAAAACTGCCAGCCGGCCCCGCGCACAGGCTGGAAATCGGGATGGGAAGCAGCACCCCCCGCAGGCAGACGCCGCGAGCCGCCGCGGAGCCTGGGAAGGCGACCGAGCCACCCGGCTCAGGAAGTCCAGAGCCCGCGAGCAGCCCAACTTCGGCGTCTGGGGAAGAGGGGGATCCGAGGAAGGGAGCGGCGCCCTCGCCTGCGGGGCAGCGGGGCGCTTCACTTACGTGGCTGGCGGGCGGCAGCCACCGTCTCTGCCGGGTCCCGAGCGCAGACTCAACTTGCCGCGCTTCCCGAGCGGCACATCCGCGGCCAAAAAGACCGTCCTTCCCCTGCGCCGCGGTCCCTGCCCTCCGCGGGGAACCCCGGCCGGACTCCGGGAGGAAGCAGCCCGGCAGGAGGGGGGGAGTATCCCGAAGCAGCCGCCGCGCCGGCCCGGTGGAAGCCTCAGCGCCCGCGCGTCCCCGGCGGCGGCTCGGGAGTTGCGCTGTGGCAGCGC